ACAGAAAAAGTTTAACAGTTTGAAAGTTTAACAAACGGTACTGATGCTCAATACTGGCCCAGTAAGTCCCTTTAATTTCGTAAACGAGCGGTATCCCACCCGGTAACGATATCTCCTACTCTATAGGCTTAAAAGGAATGTTCATTCTATTGCGTGACTCGACAAAAGATGTTTAGAGTGCGCGTCTCCTTCGACGTACAAAGCGCGGAGAAAGCGGGGTTTAATGCGACTTCGAGTGACTTCGAGAGGGTCTCGAAATTGACGATCGAATTCCCGAGGCGCTTCTAAGGAGATTCCTTCGAGGCGAGGAATGTCCGAACGCGGTTTCGTAGGTGCCAGTTAGTGTTCCGCAGACGTCGTCCCGTCTCGATGACGATGAGAACAACGACGACGTCATGCCGATTAGTGAGCGTTGTCCAGTGTCGCCTCTGGATGACAGTAGACTGAATACCTTGCTGGTAGAACGAGCGCTTCTAATTCGGCGGTGAGGTGTCGTCTAATCATATGCTTCGCCGGCGGTATACCCAAGGCGGTGGCCATGGTGTCGCCGGTGAACGACGGCTCCAATACAACCAGAGCACCGTGCACGCCCGAGTCTGTGGAAGAGTTTTTTTTTTGCTCGTTAAATATAAATGACATCGATAGTTCGCGTAAGTGTCGTCGGATTTAAAGGTGAAAGGTAAAAGGTCGATTTTTCAGTTTGCATATTCTGTGTAAATTCTTATTCTTAGAAGTGAGATATGTTGCAATCACACCGCAATAAAATCGGTTAAAAAGATGTAAAAACAAAAAAAAATATAAGAAGAAAATATTCTTATAATTATAATTAGGTATCAACATTTTTAACCGAATATGGTTGTCTTTACTTATTTAAATATTTTTACGTTTTTTTAGTAAATTTATATATTAAAATTTTGCAAACTGTAATCAATTATCATATATGGTATGTGATATTAGATTACAGCTTGCAAAAATCTTCGATTTTAATGAATATACAATTGATCTCTCCGAAGTACAATTCACCTTTCAAGTTCTCGGCGTATTCCGTGAGATCGATATTCCTCGCCCACCGAATGAACCTTTGATTCGTCCAGACCAAAGGATCTGTGTCAACTTGCTCGCATTGATGTCTCCTGACAGCTAGGGCCTACCACAGAAGCACAACGTCATCTCTTTGTTGGTAATATTCAACCGCAAAATTACATCGTTCGATTGATCTTCATAGAGAACTGATTATTCAGCCTTTATCTTCGTAACATGTTCCTAATGAGCTCTTGTAATATTGCATTATTTCGATTTGCATCGTCCGCGGAAATTCACTCACCTGTCGATCGTAGTTCAGCATCCGCAGCA